AAACTGATCTGGTATTTGTGGGTTGTTGAGATTTTTAATCCAGGAAATGGAAGGTGAACTGAAAACGTTTCTGTGGAACTCAGTGTATTCAAAAGTAACATTCAAGGGAAATAAGAAGGAAAATTGCTATTTTGTTAATATTTTTGCCTCAGATTAGTAAAGATCTTGGTCTGTATAATGGAAGGACAGTCAGCCTTTGGCACAGTTGATCTTAATTCTGTAAATTAAGTCACACAGATAGGGAAGAAGGTTTTCTAAGTAAGACTCGGACCACAGTACACTTTGTTGTTAAGCTGGAGTAAAATTACTGAGATTTCATTTGTCTCTCAGTCTAAAGCTCTGAAAACAAAGTCAATGGACATTAAAAGGACCCTGTTTGTCTGAAGGGACTGAACGAGTCGGGAATGTACTTCCAGTGGCAAAAGTCACCTTTTTCCCCAGAGGAGAGTCACTTCTGCTTACTCGGTCTTCATCCCTTTTTGTAATTTATTTTGATACACTCCAAGTTCTGAATGAAATCACTCCTTACAAATGCGTAATATTTGAGATAATTTCTGCCTGAAAAAGCAGAATCTTCTCCTGCCACCTCCCCCCCCTTTTTTTTCCCCCTTGAATTGTTACCATCCCCCCTCCTCCCAGTCGCTCTTTCTTCTTTTACCTTAAGGCTCTCCACAGCTAATGAAGGAAGTGAAATTCCAGTAGAATTGTGAAATTGTACAGCTCCTGGGAATCCACACGGTACCTGCTGTTGATTCGACAGGCGCTGCACAAATTACTGCAGGCCAGAATTAACCCCTGTTTTTGGCAGGGCTGACACTACACTGAAGCTTTTTGGAGCCGTTTTCCTGGGAGGAACTGATGGGAAGTAAACGGAGACTATCTGCTATTTTCTGTGTCTCTGGTTTTGCCTGTACAGGCATGATCTTTATTTAGCATCAGTGATGTATGTAGCTGCTTGTGTTCTCAGTTCCATCTCCAGTAGTATTCAGCTGTTATATATTCAAAAGACTTTATTGTAGTGACAGTTCAGCACTAATGATCTGTGCAGTCTTTTCAAGGGAACTCCCTGAAAACCTATTGCATTTATCATTTAAATCTGCCCTTCAGTAGGTGGCATGACTTTGTTTTCCTTTTTCTCCTGCTATGCAGTAAGGTATCTTTACAAGAAAAATCAGAGGTTCTTTGTAACTAATCTTTAAAGCTACTTGTTTAACGTATTGGGATTTTTTACATATAAATAAATTTTTAGATATTTTTATGATCAAGAGGAAGTATTTTTCCAAGTAAAGTAATAAACAGCGTATTTTTTTATCTTTATAGTGACTATTCATTGGTCTTTCATGGGATGACACTGAGTGCTTAGTAAAGCATGCCTCCCTAAGAGCAGCAGCAGACTACAGAATGAAAAGGTGTTCTAAAAATGATCCCAGACTGTAAGCACTGACATAGTAGTAAAGCCTGTGGCATGGATATGGAAGCTGTTTTTCTGCTTTCACTAAGTAAGATGTGTATTTTGAAGGTGGGTGAAATAATGTAGACCAGGTTTACACCCTACCACCCTACTTGGTTTTTAAAAAATAAATAAATAAATCAGTGTCAGCACCTAATGTGAGGTGCAGTGGATCACAGCATCAACCTCACTTCTATTGCAGCAGGTTGAGCTTTCACAAGTAAGACTTTGCCTGCAATAAAGGGTTAGGAGGGAACTGAAAAGATGGTGAGAGACCCTATAGCAAAGCAGTGTTTTTCAGTAACTCTCCCTAATATAAATATCTATGATTATGAAGTAAATTCTACAGTGGAATCATACTATTGCAGACTACTACAGCTGTCCTTTGTTCTGACTTTCTAGAGTAACGTCAAAATTAACGCAATTCTTTGGCTATATGTTTTTCTAAACACAGGCAATATTTTTTTCATAGTTACACTTGGCTCAGCATTATAGAAGCTGCCAATGTTCTTTTGCATATGAAAAGTGAATTGCAAACCAAAACCAAAACCCTGGAAACCTTTTTGTCTTTGGGTTAGATACTGCACTGAATTTGAATCCTGTCAGAAGTTTAAACTATGTTATACTCACATATCAGGGTTTTCCTGTTCTGACACAGACACAGTGGAATCCCTTCTGAGCTCCCAGTCATTGACACTGTGTGTATTTATCTTTTATTTCCATCACATGGGACCAAGCTTGTAAAATTCTCGTGATCCTCCTATTCTTTGGTTTTTTTACTAGCTGTGCTGTCACATTTTGCTCTTTGCCAGCACAACACACCTTCTTTCTTTTAATATCAGTAGATCACTATTAGTTATGCTTGATACTGGCTCATTGTAGTAGAGGGCAGACACAAGCATCCCTATATGTGGTAGCTTTTCCTGGAAAGCGAGGGTGCTGCAGAAAAAAAAAACCCAAGTGGTAGTTGGCGTAGTTGTGTTGCCATCTGGTAAAATGTTCCCTTTTTGGACAAATGGTGCTATCTTTGAGACATAGCATCATCCACCTAATGCTCTCCTTCCTTTCTGCTGAGAAGAATGGTGGGAAGAACTACCGGAAATGCTTACTGGTCTTTTTCATATTGGGTGTTCTGCATAAACCTCAGAAGCTCTGTGCAGTGTACAAAGGAACAATAATTGAAAGAATGAAATTATAAATTCATCTGCTCAGTGACAAGTCCAAGACAGTATTTTTCTTCCAAATTAAATTGCAGCATGAGATGGAAAGTTCCATTCGAACTCTCACTCCCTCTGCTCTTGCAGAATGGTGTGATGCGGTGTTTCATTATTTCACATGCAAAATTATGTATGTTCTCTAGAAGGAAGCTTGTCAAGCATGGCATGAAGCACAGGGAAAAGAGGAGTTTTCAGGATGTTTGTGTCCTGACAAGTTTTTCTGTGAAGTGTAGCTGGACGTCCGGTTCTTGGTGTCTTTGGAGAATAGCATTTAATGACAAAAAATAGACTTTGCTCTCAGGAATAGTAGCATCTTGGCAACACAGGAAAATTAAGTTAGCTTAAAAATGCCAGTTGTAAATTGTGGTGTTATGAAGGGTGGCAGAATAAAACTGGAAGTAAGTTGAATCCCCACCTGCTTGTATTTCAGATAAACCATTCCAGTTACATATGGTTGTTGAGCACACATTGTCAAAAGTCAAAAACCTCGTCTAGCTAGAAAGGGAGGAAAGAACCATAGCCTGCTAATACCTTTTTTCTTAAAGATGCGGATTTACACTCACATATGAGTTCACCATAGAGTGAAAACCTCAACAACATACAGATGATAGCACACCTTTAGATTTTGCCTTGTGAGTAGTCACAAAAGCATGGAAATCTTTGCAGGATTAGCAACAGCAAAAAAATGTTTGACAAAAATAGTATCTAAGAAAATCTTGTATTTGTGAATGCACCTTCTACTGGAATTAATTTTCTTCTCTCCTCTTTAACCAGCAAGACATGCTACAAAACGCAACACAAGACCGTTCATTAAAGTCTTCACTGGAATTTTATTTGCGTAACGTTACGGATAAACTGATTAACGAAGTGTTTTAGTTGTCTAATCCACTACATGCCTTTTATGCTTCTCTCCTTGAAATAAAAGTTTGGATGAACTCTATTTTTGAAAGAATTAGTGTTTGCCAAGTGGAAGTAAACCAACATTAATGTGTTCTGAGATCCAAGCAGAATCTAAACAATTTTTATTCCACTGCAGTGATTTCTACTGTGTGTTTCTTTTAGTTCAGTTTATTTACAAGCATTCCATATGACACTGCTTTGTGGTTTGATATTGTTTAGATTTGAAAATGTGTGAGTGTTGCATTTTTATTCTGGTTTAGTTGACTAATAATTTGCTTAACCAAGTGATAGTTTGTGTTTGATAGAACAATGTCTCTCTTACCTGTCTCTCTCTGCACACGTCATTTCCTGTATTGCTGTGTTTGTTGATATTTCAGGCACATAAATAGTTTGTAAATTTCTTTCATCAGAATAAAAAGGTGTCTTTCTACAAACGGGCACAAATACTTGTGGCTGATACCTGGAGTGTATTAGAAGGCAAAGGAGATGGCTCTTTTGATGACATTTCTAGCCTGACTATATTTGCTGACTACAGAATTCCTCAAGTTCTCGTTCATTTAAAAGCAATGAAGTATTCTGAAGAACTAATGAAGAAACTACGTGAAGGTTTGTTCCTCTCTTACTAATATCAAGTGGTCTTACCTCTTGACATTGTAGACTACAGCTACTTTTAAAAATCTAAGTTTTGTCCATGGGGTTTTTTGTTGTTTGTTTGTTTGTTTGTTTTCTCCAGGGAAGAAGGACTTGTTATGTAGTGATGAGGTTCCAGGAAGGAACTTACTCTCTAACAATGATCTTGAATGAGATCTTAAGGTTATGTTTTTATAATGGTCTGTTTCTTGGATTAAACATGGATAAGGGAAGAATTGAGGAGACACTAAGCCAATTGATGTCCGAGTTCCTGAAGGGCTGCTCTTGCCAAAACCACTTTTCAGCATGAGTGTAGGTGGGATTTTTGAGGTTCAAATAAAAGAAGCATTGATTTCTTCATTAGTTCAAAGATGATATAAAAGCGTGGGGATTCCTCTTTATCTGTACTGAACTGCTGGTGGCAAGCAAGGTAGTATTACTAGCAGCCACTAAAAAAAAAAAGATTGCTCCAAAGGAAGTTCCTTTGCATAAGACTAGATGCTCATTTTTAAGCATGGTTCCATCTTCTAGTACTTATTAGCTATGAACTCGAGTGAATAAAAACATAAGCCAATTCCTTTTCCACTGTAAAATGGCTGTATTTCGAGGTGGAACTGCTATTGTGCAATTTTAAAATTACACAGCGAGATGAACAGATGAATGCAGTCGTCCATGGATCTTAACAGAACGGCTGTGTGTATGTACGCCTATATAGATATATATCTGTATATTAAATAGACTGTGTAGAGAATTTATCTTTTCCATTAGTCCTAATAAGGACATTCCTCTTCAAGTCATTCCAACAAATGGGTCCTTTTGTATTTTTATATATATAGTTTTGGGAGTTTGTTTGTTGTTTTGTGGTTGGGTTTTTTTGTTTGTTTGTTTTTAATATTTAAATCTTAGAGTTATCCTGGCAGAAAGTATACTGTCTCAGAATTCTGGCTGACTGTTGTTTTTGTGTGCAAAGAACTAGTCATATAATGTGCAGTATAACCCAAACACCTGTTCTTTTCTTAAACCACTCTCTTAGAATACAGGATGTTGTTTCAATTGACGGGGAGGTAAACTTGTAAGTGCATATGGTAAAATTGAAGCAATCCTTGGAAAATTTATAGCAACACTGTTCACAGTTGTTGTGTAAGTCATGAAAACCGAGTTCCTAGGATAGAATAAATGTTGAGGGAGGGGGGAAAAAGCAAACTCGGGTAATCCTGAGGCTTCTGTCTCTTGCATCCTGCAGGAAGAATTTTCCAGTCTGGAGACAAGGAGGAGGTGGAGATCCGTGGCTGCTCTATTTGGTGTTGCACGTTGATTTGTAAGCACCTGCTGGAGCTCTATGAGAAGAAGGGTCAGGACATGCGTGGGAAGATCAACGCGGTTTTACTCGATTATTATCTTTGGGACTATGCCAGGGATCACAGGGGAGAGATGGAAGATATTCCGTTCCACCGCGTTCGCTGTATCTATTACTGAGTCCAGTCTGACAATCGCTGAGTTGCGATTCTCCTTCTCATACGGAGGCGTCGGTCGCTAGTTTGGAGCTGGTTAATGTATTTGTGGTGATGTATTAACGGCATGTTGTTTGTGGGGTTTCCCCTTGGGATCTTTCACTCGGCACGACTGGAGCTGGTGACATAAACTTTGCTGGACGGTGCTG